CTGTTTTTCATTACCAATCGAAGATTGTTTAGAGCAGAAGAGGCTGCCTGGGCATCGTGCTCACAGTTACCTTCCAGAGTATGCCCCAGTTCCACCTGCACAAGGTGACTTTCCCCTCCACCCTCACCAAGGTAGGACGTGGGTGAGGCTTTTGAAGCCTCCTTTGGGATAAGCAAAGTTTTTTGGGAAGTGACACTATTGGAGAAAGACTGGGAAGGGGCTGTACTCTGATAGAAAATCCCACGCGTATGTGTAGCTTGCACTCCTTATGCATATAGTGATGGGACAAGGGCTTTAAACTGAAAGAGGGGAGATTTAGATTAGACATTAGGAAGAAGTTCTTCACTGCGAAGGCTGTGAGACACCGAAACGGGTTGCTAAGAGAAGTTGTGGATGCCCCATCCCTGGAGGTGTTCAAGACCAGGTTGGACAGAGCCTTGAGCAACCTGGTCTAGTGTGAGATGTCCCTGTCCATGGTGGGGGGGGTTGAAACTATATGATCTTTAAGGTCTCTTCCAACCCAAACCATTCTAGAATTCTATGACCAAATGTAATGACCTGAAGGAGCTGAATAGCTAGAGTTAAGTTATTGACAGCTGATTGCAGTACCTGTGCTCTCTGCAGATTTTGCTTTTCTGTCTTTTTTTTTTTTTTGTCTTTTTTTTTTCTTTCTTTTTTTTTTTTTCCTTTCTTTTTTGGTGTGTGTGTGTGTATTACATTTGACAGTTTATATGTAATAATGGTTTAAAGAATAAGTCTTAAGACCTTGTATTGTCTCAAGAGGAAAGAAGGAAGTTGTATATTTATGTGGCATTCCATTCCTTGGTTGCCTTCGGGCTTTAATATGTCATGGTTTTGTACCATGAATTAATGCAATCAGAATTGCTTGTTTCATATGAATAGCTAGTCATAGATAATAGGACACTGTCTTAGCAAATTGACCTCCAAATCATTTTGGAGTATACGGTATTTCTGACTTTTCAGTGAGAAAAGTCTTTTGCTAGTAAAATGCAAGGAATGTTACTGCCTTCTTTTTCAAGGGGTGCGTTACAAAAGAAGCTTTCCTCAGAAGAAGTGACATAGTGAAAACTCGGTGATGAAAGTGTCAAGATTATGTAGAATTTGGAAAAAAAAACCCAGCACACATACCCCCCCATCCCCAGTCAAAACACAAGTTTTCCTGTTGGCACTGGCAAAAGCATTCATATTTGAAAAAAAGGGGGATATATTTATTTTTAATCTCTTTTCTAGAGATGGTAACTCTTTTACTAGAAAGCCTAAGCCAATCCATTCCTCTTCAGTGGAGGATATGACTATGCAAGGCAAATATGGCATCTGCATAAAGTGGCATACAGTTCCCAAAATATTCTTCCTCAGTTGTCATATTTGATGAGTTGGCAAATTTGTATCAGTATTACTGTATTCACTCTCCAACTCTTTCCTTCTCTTTGGAGTTCGTAAATGTTTCTTGTTAATATAAAATCAGTCACATCCGAGAGGGGAGAATATGGAATTGTGATGAGATAAACTGCAGCTTGGAATAATCAATGTACAGTTTTAGTCCACCCTCCCTGTCTCCAGTTCAGACACTCTTTGAAGCTGAATGTTTGTACAATTTGAGAATCTTCAGAAAGTTATATTTGACATTATTAGTGCTATGACAGTAACTACATGGAAGACCCAGTAGTGATTCTCCATGTTGAGAACTGCTTTGTTTTGTCTATGGGAAGGAAGTGTGCTCTGACTTCATCAGTTTAAACTTTGATGAGAGATGTTTGCTGATTACAGCTTTTTCTATTTTAACAAATAGTATGACAGAAGTGGTTTGTAGTTTCTCCTGTCATTCTTTCTGGGGAAATACAGGTAAATGGCAGCAAATACGAAAATACACACAACTGTATAAAAATGGCTATAAACATGCAATGAAAATACTTCCTTTTATTTACTCATGGAATTGATTTCACACTTCAAAGTAACAATCAATAGGTATCTGAGATGCTGTTATTTTACTGCAGTGTTCTTTTGTGCGTTTTTACTGGTGCCCTAGTTTCATGAAGCTCAGGAGAAGTCACATGAATATATTCTTGGATTTTCATCCAATATTGTTGCTAAGGAAACATCATCTTTAATACTGTATCCTTGTCTGCAGCTTGTCTGTATTAATCACTGCCTGTTAATGCTTAGCACAAACCAAGTAAGGATGAAAAAAATCTTAATTTCTTTTATAATGTAGTTTATTATAGACTCTCCTCCTTCAGGATCCCCTGCCACTACAAACCTCACAAATTGAAGGGTCATATCCATGTCTCTGGTCTCATCCCAACAGACACAGTATGGACAGCTTTTGTACTTTTTTCATAGGCTGCTATTAGTATTGAATATCATTAATCTAACATAGGTATGGTACAGTACATGGATTTGTCAAAATGGTGGGAATGCTTACATGCTGCCTTAAAAGGGAGAAAAAACTTTTTCTGTATGAGGTATAAAAGAGGAGCTTGAATGCACTAAATTGAGAAACATAGTCATTTTCAGTATACTGTTAAAACTATAATACTGTATTTCAGCTTGCTTTGAATATCTAGCTAGGGAACGGCCTGTCAGTCAGAGGTATCTGTGGAAATCTTGGTTCTCTACAGGTCCAGACACTTGGTTTTGTTGCAATAGTGACAGGCAGATTTTCTGAATTTTCTATTTCTGACCTCTTCTAAGAAGTACCAGATTTTATAGTAAATTTAAAAATTAATTTGATTTAGCAGTTTTTTACCCAAATTCCTGCTTGCTTTGTTTCATGGTCACTTTTGCCTTTTGGACATCTTCCTTCGTATCTGCCTCTTTAGAGAGATTATGTTAGATCTAACATTAGTTCTTGAAAAGCCCAGGTCAGAAAGGCCAGAGGCAAGCAAGAAGCCCTGAAGAACACGTCTCATTAGGAATATTTGTTTCCTTTTTTGGACAAGAAGTGTTACCTCATTCATCAGCTTAGTCATCCTTCAAGGAAGAGGAAAGAAATGAAGCCCAAGTTTACTGTCTAGCTGCGTGGGCTAGATGCAAGCACAGTTTCCGCAGTCTAATCTGGATAGGTCGTCCCAGCTTTCATCAGCAGGGCAGTAAACAGAACTCAAGTTCTCTTCAATGCAGAGCTTCTTGTTCCATTAAGAAGTCTCCTTCCACTCCCTATGGGAAAAAATGCAAGAAAATCCATGCGAGGGTGTCAGTGTACTCAAGTTCAAAGAGCCCACATCAACAGATTTGGAAGCTGTCTTAAGAGCTGAGCCACACTCATGCTTTTCTGCCTGTTGTCAGGGACTGACTGAATGGGTAGTAAGCAACTATTTCAAATACTATGTCAATAGTTGTACGCTATTAACACCTCTGTAGAGGTGTCTTGGACATCTTACCTGGGGTATCCAGAGGCAGCTCGCACTCATCATTTGATCCTGTTAACTGCATCATGCCCGTGAGTCAGTGTAGTCTCTGTATGGTAAATGTTTATGGTTATCCGTTTCTAGGCACCTATTCTAGTTACTTTTTTCCTTCCTGCGCCAAGAAGCCATTTATAATGCATTGCTCAGGACTGTTTCAATAGTGAAAGTTTCTGAATATGTGATGTGTTACCAATGCTTTTACTCTAGAGGTTAGACCAAGATACTGTATTTTTGTATTAATTGCTATGCCTGTAAGGATTGCTTAATCACTCATAGTCCAATGAAAGAACTACAAAGGGTCTCCATATTGCTTAAAACGTGAGTCTAATCATTGAGTTTTGATCAGAACTTAACATTGCAGACCTGGAATTCTGCATTGGTACCCCATGGCTTTAGTAATAGACAAGGCTTCAATATTAAAGAAAAGCATCATCTTATAATTCACAGTTCAGATGAAAGTCATTTGAGTATGTGTGGCATTTCCTTTTTTTAGTGTTGGTACTAGAATCGGCAGTCCCTAGGCTCTTTCCAGGCTTCCCGTTTCCATCTGTCCTCGTAGCCAGTGGGATAAAACACTTGCACTTTGTATTTGTACTTAAAGTACAATACTTGTACTTTAACCTATCCTTTACTCCTTGGTATGGAAGAAATGGTGAGGGAAGGTGTTCTCAAGTATTTCCATCAGCCACTGCCAATAGTTCTGCTGTTCAGTTACCCTGAAATCCCTGCATACTGGCTTTTTTAAAAGAAGCTTGCTCTTTTTAAGTATTTATTGTATATTAATTTTCTTCTAGTTTCGGTGACTATCTAGAAAGGTTGTTAGCAATTTACTATAGAGACTGAAGTGGAAAGGGAAGGACACTGGTAGTTCTACAGTGTTGTCTGTTGTGATTTGGGTCTTAATTTGTGGTGCATTATCCCATCTCAAGGCAGAAGTTGAACTCAGAGGAAACATTCTCTATGTTCACCTAATGTTCTTTGAGTGGAATTAGTTGGCACACTTGGGCTAAGGCAATGTTTTCCTGGCCATTGGTAGTGCGTTCCGTCTCTGATGCACTGTGTTTGTTTTGTTTTTTTCACTAAAAACATGCTAAGGTAATTTTTGGTTGCTGGAAAGTGTCTTGTAAGGTGTGGTGTGGAGGTGCTTTTGCATAAATCTGTGTCCTGCGTGGCGCCTGAGTGTTTTTTCAAAGCTGCAGTATGGGGTGGTTTTCACTTGCTTGGAACTGCACAATCTACTAATAGCAGAGCTCAGTACTGGATTGAAGAGATCATGTATCAGTCGTAAGACCGCTGTGTTTCTACTTTTTCTCTTAGTTGCTCTTTTTTTTTTTTTTTTCTCTCCATCATGTATTCTTTTCACTTCCTTTCTCTACTTAAATTTCTTTATTGTCCATGTGGTCATATCTCTCCCTTTCTGTGGTGTCATTGTGAAAATTAGATCATTTCAAATGCAGGATTTCCTCTCCTCTAGATGCTTTTCCTTTTTCCCCATGCATACACCACCTGCCTGTGTGTGCTCTGGGAGATGTGCAGGTATTGGTCAGGATAAGGTGGCAGAACTGCAGTGAAATGTGGTAAGTTTTGCTGCCAGCTCCTTTCTGCATTTTTTTCTTTTTAATTATAAAATTGCTCTGTCAAATAAAGAAGGAAGGGAAGAACCAGAGAAATAACGCTGTAGTTGGGGAAGCAAAGAGGTTATGTTGGTTGCTTGATCCTGGTGCTGAGGATAATGCAAAGTAGCAAAGAGGAGGGATTCCCATAAAAAGTTGAAAGGTCCAGAGGCTCTTTACCTTTTGTAGAAACTTTGAAGTTAAGGATTTCTCTCAGAGTTGTCCATGGGGAATTTGTCAAAAAGTATCAACCAGCTGAAATGCTACAGTACAACAGAAAAAAATATAAAAGTTTATCATGTAGTATGACTGTGAAACATTAAGTAACTTCTGACATGGTTTTCTCTTACTCTTTTTGTATATAGAAAAGGTATACATCTTTTTAGTTAGTTTTTTGGGGTTTTTTTTCCCCCCTGGTTATTTCCTGGTTAGCTTTCTCCTGGCCACTTCTGTTTATAGACTCCCCTTCTTTTCACCCTTGGAATTTCATTAACCAAAATCTCTGTTAAGGTGTAAGGTCATGTTACCATTGCAAAGTGCTCAACTTTTCTCCTTTCCAAGTGATCTTTATGTTGTTAGTGGTTCTGTCCACCAGTCTCTCAAGATCATTACCCTATTATTAGTTAGGGGAGGATATATTTAAGCCAGATTTAATAGCTAACTTCAGAAATTTTTATCTCCCTGACTTAATGTGGAACTTCTACATCATTTTGGACTGCTGTACCTAGTCTATGTAGAATGTTATGAAGTAGCTTGTTTGGGTTTTTATTAGAATATATTCTTTCTTAATTTTCTGTATTATAAAATCTGAATCTTCAGACCTCATGTGCTCCCTTGCTGCTTGCTTGCATAAGCAAAACAAAAAACTGTCTTGCTGACTAGCCTGCTTTCTAGCTTGGTCCCAGATTTGATGAAACAGTTGATGATCCACTGTCAACTTTAAAAGACTCTGAAATATGAACTGTAAGAAAGTACTCTGCAATATTAGAAATGTGAAAAGTTAATAATTAGTCAAAATCAATTATTCCCAATTGTTCGATATTAAAATTAAGACATTGAAGGTAATCTCATCTCACTTCAGTTTAGACATCTGAAGTCTAGCTGTAATACCTAGTCTAAGCTAGTCATGCTTTTGGCTTGCTGTATGATCAGCCAAGAGGTAGCTCCAGAAGGTTATTCAGTCCTCTCTTAAAAAGAATGTCAAATAGTAAGTAGAATGAAGTAGTTCTGAAGATACATATCTGTCTCCATTGATGGTAGATCTCTAGATAGCTAAATACCAGCTATTACAGCTATTGCGGAATTTGCGATACAATAGGACTTGTTCTTGTTAGTATCTGCTATCAGTGGAAAAATATTATAAAATCATTATTAATGAGAAATATTAATAAAAAGGTCTAGGCAAATGTAAAAGTTTGATTCAAAAATATTTTATATGTTTTTCTTTGGCAGCCTTGCTTTGCATCCTGAACGTGTGTTGGTGGCAACAGGTCAAGTTGGAAAAGAACCGTATATCTGCGTGTGGGACTCGTACACTGTGCAAACTGTATCTGTTCTGAAAGATGTTCACACACATGGTATAGCTTGCTTGGCTTTTGATTTAGATGGTCAGGTATGTAATTAATATTTCCCTTTTTTTTTTTTTTTTTTTTTTCCTCCAAACAAGTTGTTTATCTGTCAAATCTCATTAAGTAGCTTTTTGGTGTTTTAAGGATGTGTATTGACTCAGGTTTTGTCTTGCTTATTCTCAAGCTAAGGAAAAAAATGTTGGCATTACTAGTGGAGGTGGTAGGGAGATCCTTGTGGTTTGTGGGCCACAATTCAAGGTTATACTAAATGACTGGAGATAGCAGAGCTAGTGGTGCAGGGCTGTGTCTTGTGCACAAAGTGATGTTACTTATCTTGGACTCCTAATTTCTTCAGGCAGTATCCCCTTCTCTGTCATGCATTTTGTATGTGTTGGTGACTCTCCGTGTTTTGGTTGGTTGTTCAGAGTCACATATCCTGGATCTTAAGAGTCAAGAAAAACATGCAATATATAGATGAATCACAAGATAAACGTGGTTCCGATTACTGGTCTCTATATGATCACTATAACAAACGTTGGTCATCTTCAGTCACTGGGAGGGAATATGTGGACTGAAGTAACGACAAGCCCATTGCACTCTTCGTTTGTTCTATTACTTGTTCATTTTTTATGCTTCATGTTGGACTGTGCCACAAACATGAGCTCCTTCCCACTGCCAACTGGTCTGCCTAGCTCAGGAAGACATCATTTATTCTTTATTTATTGTCCTTTGTTAGTTGTCTTGGGGAATCTGATGATTCATTGGTGCACCTAAAACCAAGGTTACCCTTCAGTCTCCTTGGTGTTGGGAGAATTTCAGCTAGCTTTATGGTATGTTCTCATGTGAGTGTGCTGGGTTATTTTTTGCTCTTTTCTGAGCTGTACTCCTCTGTGGAAGTCTACTGGTTGGTAACAAGATTTTCTTATTCTTAGGAGAACCGAGAACATAATTTAATCTCCGTTTCTGAGAAGTCATTGAATTGCCTTATGTCTGGGAAGGCATCACCAAGTTGGGTTTTTTTTTTGTGATGGGTATGCAATAAGTGTAAAACTAGTTTGCGTTTACTCCTCTCATTCTGCAGTAGGACTGGAATTGAACTGCTTGGAAGCGTAACTGGAATTGAAACTCATGTTCCTTCTGAGAATATTTTCAAAGATTGAATAGAAAGGTTGGACTTTGCAGTTATCTGAAAAATTGAAATTGACATTAATAAATTGGGAGCATGGATGACAATTGTATTTGACTTGCTTCTTGTAATCTTGGAGCTTCTCAGACAGTAAAGAAATCATGTTATTGGGAATAGCTTTCTGTCTTTGGGAAAAAACTTGCTTAAGTTTGGGGTTTGCTTTTGCTTTTTTACAAACTCAATTTTATAATCTATGTAGAAATTGAAATGAAATTTGTCTTTAATGTGTGTAGGTATTAACTGCTGAACAGTGCAAAAACTTTGTCCTTAAAGATTTGCAAAGCTTTCATTTATCAAAATTAAGATGGCACAATTTGTGTTCATAAACTGAACAAAAAGACTTTCTTTAAAAACAAAACTCAAAATCACTGAGTTTCTTTTTATCAGCTCTTTAATACTGTTAGTCTTTCTGTTGAGAATTTCTATAGGAAAGCCAACATTTTGACTGGTTAACAGATAAAGTAAAAGTGGACTGTTTGTTAATATGGTCAATGCTCTGTGTCAAGAAATCTGGAAAGGAATAGTTACTCAGACATAGAATCAACCAGGTTGGAAAGAAGTTTAAATCATCAAGTCCAGCCTTTAGCCCAGGACTGCCAAGCCCACCACTAAACTATGCACTAAGGGCCTCATCTACATGGGTTTTGAACACTTCCAGGGATGGCAATACCACCACTTTGCTGGGAAGCCTGTTCCAATACCTGATCACCCTTTTGGTGAAGAAATTTTTTCCTAATATCCAATCGAAACCTTCCCTGGTGCAGCTGTTTTGAAGAATCAAGCAAAAGACTCTTAAAGCTTTTAAATGTTTTGTTAGTTTCCAAGAAGATAGAAGAAAGTATTTTTCTTTGTATCTCCTGAACTTGTGAAATAAATACTTAAATTCTGCAAGTTATATGTAATTAAAAGTAAAACCAGGTAGTTTCATTAACTTCAGTGAGATTCTTACTTTTTGCAAATCTCCTGACTGATGCTTGCCGTGTGTGCTATATATAATTATATATATCAAACATTATAAATCCAAAATATGTTATCTGATATCTTACTGCTTTATGATCGTGACATTGTAACTGAAGAGATGTGTCTATGGAAGCTTTGGCATAAGATGTTGTGTCTTTAGTTTTCTTCTATATCAAAATGTAGCTATTGCTACTAACTCAAATATGTTATGAATTTATTATAATTCAAAATGATTACTCTAGTTTTCATTAATATAGTGAATTTTTAAAATTATTTATTTATTTTGGACATTTTTAGCGCTTGGTCTCAGTTGGTTTGGATTCAAAAAACACAGTTTGTGTATGGGACTGGAGAAAAGGGAAATTATTGTCAATGGCTCCTGGTCATACAGACAGAGTAAGTATAACTAAAGAATTTGATGTCAGTGTAATTTTAGTTTGTTAAACCATGTCTGTGTATGCATACTAGAGCTATATCTGAACAAAAAAAATCTTATGTTTTAGGAGTTGAATTTGCATAATGCTTGGATATGTATTAAGATATGTGAAGATATTTAAGATATGTACATTTCTTTCTAAAATAAAATGTGTAACTCACCGTTTATTTGCGTGTGGTTTGTTGAGACTGTAAGCATGTAGGGGAAGTGCAAAATTATAGGCGCTTCCTAGACCCTAATCCCCATATGGGAAATCAAGATGCAAGTAATTGCTTAAATTTTTCTAGTCTGTAAATGAACCTTAATTTTGTTTTATCATGTGATGTAATTACTCTAGGAAAAAAACCAAACAGAGCTAATAAGATCTATACATTGCAGTTTCAGTATTGAATGAGATGATAAAATGCCATTCCAATAGTTCCATTTAAAGCATTTCAGACCGTTAATGGCTACAAGTTTTTACTATTTTAACTGTCCCATGCTAGAAAGGCGATCTCTGCTGACATCCCTGGGATTTTTTTATGCAGATATTTGATATTTCTTGGGATTTGTACCAGCCAAACAAGCTTGTCAGCTGTGGCGTGAAACACATCAAGGTAATGAAATAAATGTTAATTCATAAAGTATTTAAGTTGTAGTAGTTTATACTCTATAAAATATATAAAATAGAACCTAAAAGGAATATATAATTATAACATAAAAGGTCTTATGTAAGAATAGTAATACTTATTTAGGCACTGCAATCATAGATCACACCTGACTACACTACACATTTTCAAGATACAGATATAGTAGAAAACAGACCATCTCTGCTCAACAGAGTTCCTGCCCTGACAGAAGAAATGTGGAAGGAATGAAGTGGTTGTCAGTAGCATTGTATGTAATGATCATAATAGAACTTAAAATTTAGATTGTCTAAAATATGTTTGAAACCCCAAGTAGCACAAGACAGGATGTGCACGTTTAAGGCGAGTCCAGGTACTCAAGTTTCTGATTCTTGAACAATTAATGAATTGTTACAGTTCAGGGGTAGAATGAGTTGAAAAGACATTTCTTACAGTTTGAGAGAGTATGGGAATACAGTGGAAAGAAAAATAGAAATGCTTGTCCTTTCTTGTAATACTTCTTTCCCTGCTGTTATTTCTACCTTTGTCATTTTGAGCGCTCTACCCGTTACAGGATTCATAATTCAGACAGTTCATGTGTTTTTCAAGCAGTGTTCTATGAAACACTCTTCTTTGATCCGAGTACTGACTGCTGTGCAGAAACAGCTTAATTCTGTCAGCAGAATTACCAATGCTTGACTGCCATCAAATATTCCTAAAGTCACTACCTTCTCCCATGCTCTGTCTTCTGTGTTACCACATAACAGCAGTAGATGGCAGCTTGAAAGTTCTGTATTGCTCTTATGTGTAGGTTCCTATAGTGGAAAAAATGTTTTGCTTTTCATAAAATGAACTTTTAGATTAATATGTATTTATGGTTTATTGGAGAAAATGTTCCATGTGTTGGCTAGATTGCGCATGCCTTTGATTTAGCATAGCATTTAGCAGGTTATTTACAGATTTCCATGGGCTTGATTAATAATAGTCTTTTTTCTACTTCAAGATCTTAAAGGACCCTTTTGCCACTAGTGAGCTAATATGTTGTGCCAGCAGCGATTTAGTATTTAAGGTGGCTTTATGACTTCAGAACATCTATTTAGATAAGCAAAAGTTTATCTGAGCAACTTTTAAGGCTCTGTGAAGACCTTTTAAATAAAAATAGAATTTTAAAAATAATTGGTGTTTCTTTTGAGACAGTATTAACCAAAAATCTGAATCCCTGAGATTTATAGGCATGTGGATCAGGCGAGAGATTTTTATTGATGTGTATTTTTCTTAAACCACTGCAGTTCTGGAGCTTGTGTGGCAATTCCTTGACACCAAAACGTGGTGTTTTTGGCAAAACTGGTGATCTGCAAACTATATTGTGCCTAGCCTGTGCAAGGGATGAAGTGACATATTCTGGTGCACTGAATGGAGATATATATGTATGGAAAGGAATCAACCTTGTACGGACAATACAAGGAGCACATGCTGTGAGTATATTTCTTTCATATAAAATGTTAAATAGATTTCTGGAAAGCTGGAAAGGGCATTGCAAGATCATCTGTGTTTCTAAACTATTTCAGTGATAGAGACTCAGTATGTGTCATATGAATATATTTTCTTTTCTGTCCTTTCTCTCTGGTGTGCAAGATTGCTGTTGTGTTAGAAAGTGAATGCTAGATTGAGAAATACATTTAGGTGTCTATTTATGTGCTGTCTCCCATTATCATTGATGGGGGACTTGGTAATCAATAGAGCCTGGAATGCATTTAAGTTTACCCTTCAGTAGACATGTATTACTCTGTTCAATTACCCATGCAGGGGTATACATAGTGATGTTTTATATATCGGAGTTGAGTACATAGCTGCCTCCCCCAAAGAATATGGATCTACTTTATCTGACTTTCTTTTATGGATGTCTCATTAATCTAGAGGCATCTCAGGAGGCCTGGACTGCTCTATTTAGGTAATTGGTGTTGAAACAAATAAGCAGGTCTCCAGGGTGTCTCTGGAGCTTTATCCACATCTCCATCCATTTGGAGATACTCACAACATGGCTGGACACAGCCCTGAGCAATACGCTGTTTTTTGACTCTGCTTTGAGCAGGGGTTTGGGCTAGAAGCTCTCCAGAGTTTTCCCCAAGATCAGCTATTCTGTCATTTTGTGAATTGAGTCCTGCTGGCTGGTTGCCTGATAGCTCTCTAAAGTCTGTTGATTCTGTGAAGCGTAATGTAAACACAAACTCCCAGCTTGTTTGTAGACACACACATTTAATTGTTTTAGCTGGACTCAATTGCTCTTCCTTGTCCAATGTTGCTACTTTTTTCTGTATTCATTCAGCTTTTTAAAACAGTATATAGCTTTGAAAAATGACGTCATCAGTGAAAGTTAAATATTTTTTTTCAAAAGTGCTTGGTAAGATTTTCTTTTAATCAAAATATTTAGTGTGAGCATGAAGTGATTATATTTTTACTACGTAAGTTTATATTATATTTTCCAAATTCTTTCAAATCATATGGTATTGTGATTAAAGTAGGGAGCAAAAAAACGCTTGGTGGTTTGCAGTCTAATTTGTGTATGCCAATCTGTGAGAGCCCTCATTTCTCTCATAGTAGTAAGTCATATACTTCTAACTTCTCCAAGTATCACTTTAAACCCAAAGCATCTTGTTGGTTTAACCTATGAGGCATGAAATTGTTAAGGTAAATTTATTAAGCTATATTATGTGCTGGTTGAAAGTTGATTTTTTTTTTTTGTTTTGTTTCAAAAGGCATTTTACTTTCTAGATAATATTTAAAATTGCCTTATTAACCATTATAAATAGCATGAAAATACAAGCACACGAGTTCCTATATTGCAGCTTTGAAATTCTAGATAAAAATAACAGTTTATTCTTTCTTATAAGCATGCATTTGATTTCGCTGGCAGTACTGGACTGGATGTGTGTATGTAACTGAAGTATTAAAATCACTCCTTATAATTTGATCAGGTAGAATGGAGGGGACAAAAAGTGACAAATGATATGTATGTGGAGAGGTTACAGTCAGTCAGTACTGAGACTCTTGGTTTATTGATGATTGAGAAATGTACATTCAGGACAGTGGCAGCTTGTTGAATTAACTAATCATAGAATCATAGAATAGTTAGGGTTGGAAAGGACCTTAAGATCATCTAGTTCCACCCCCCCTGCCATGAGCAGGGACACCACACACTAAACTATGTCGCCCAAGGCTCTGTCCAACCTGGCCTTGAACACCGCCAGGGTTGGAGCATTCACAGCTTCATTGGGCAGCCTATTCCAGTGCCTCACCACCCTCACAATAAAGAACTTCTTCCTTATATCTGATCTAAAATTCCCCTGTTTAAGTTTGAACCCGTTCCCCCTTGTCCTACCACTACAGTCCCTAATGAAGAGTCCCTCCCCAGCATCTGTGTAGGCCCCCTTCAGATATTGGAAGGCTGCTATGAGGTCTCCAGGCAGTCTTCTCTTCTCCAGGCTGAATAGCCCCAACTTTAATTTAAAAGTGACTGAACTGCTTATTCAGACAGCAGTATAACGACTGTATCTTATTAGGAACAAAAATAAAGTTATGAAGAACAAGTGTAAGACTATTTTGCATTTGAGATTTCTTTATATTCATATAAGTGTATATAAAAAATAAAATATATATGTCCACACACATGCATAACCTTCCTTTATGCATCTATAGAAACATCTAATGTAATCAAGAACACACAAATTCTAAACTAAGAAATATAAAGGGGTATTTGAATATTCCCTGATTGTTACTCTCTACATTCTGATCTAGTTTTAGTGTTCATACTTAGTGTCCAATAGTGTTCTATTCTGATCTGTATTTTCCTAAGGTGATGTGGACATTTACTTTTTGATGCTGGTGTTAGTTAAATGAATCTTTTAAAATGCTTGTATTGCATATACAGAACCGGATTCCCAGAAGAGAGAGTGCACTTTCTCTCATATCCAAAACTGATGAGGAAAAGAGCGTCCCATCCTATTTGGTGCTGTAGGAGACATCTGTCCTGTATATTCACATATCTGTTACTTGGATTATTTAGACTTGCAACAGTTTATTGCAGAATAATGCTATGCTTTTCAACTCTTTCAGTGTGAAATGACTCAACTGATAAATGTAGAGAGTACTTGTTGCACCATTACTTACATGCTGTGTCAGTTTTGCTAGGCTCCTTATCTTCAGTAGCATCAGTGGATGGAGCTCAGGTGACCTTGGAGTAGGTCTCATCTAGCCTTCTATTTTTGGCTGCGTCCTTTAGGCTCAATGGAATTGTGCTTTGCAGTACTGAAAACTAAGTAGGGGCAGTAGTCCATGGCTCTGAAATTCATTTTCACAAGAGATTAGTGTCCCTACAGATCTCACCAATTTCAGGGGAAAAAAGATCCAATAAAATCTCTTCTGGAAGCTTACTTCCCAACAAAATGAAAACTTGTTTTTCAATGAAATATAACATTAAAGGGTAATATTGTCAGACTATTGTTAGCACAAAATACAGCAGCTTGGAATAAGAGTGCCTGTTCAGCCATACTGAACTATTACTATCATATTGTATAGTGATTTTGCACTTAATTTTATAAATCATGCCCTTGTTCATTCTTTTGAAAGAAACCACAAGGGTAAATGATAACATTGTGATGTGCATACGTTGTTAAAAGCAGTGTGCACATAGTAGGGAATTGATAGACATTTTCGTTCAGCATGCTGGTGTTGGAATTGTCATCCCTGCTTGCCTGTTTATCATCCTGCGTCATTACTCCTCAATGGGCTTGAATTAAACTGACAATTCATTAAAGGAAAGCATGTCTATTATTTGCATAAAGTACCATGTATTCCTTTCTTGCAGCATGAACAGTAGGCATCTGAGAAGCAGGAAAGCGTTTTCAAAAGCATGTTAGTCATGTGGGGATATGGTCCATCCATCTGGCAGCAGTCTGCATTAATACAGAAAACAGGTTGTTTTCCGAGGTTGGCTATCTTTGTTATAGTTAACTTTGCTGAAAAGACATTTTTTCTTTTTAACAGTAATTCAATGTGAAAAATAAACCAAGCTGTCCCAGTGTAAGCAACTGAGGAAAGAGATAGCGACTTTAACACTAGCAAGCAAAATAAGAATTCACAGCTAAAACAGATTATCTGTCTTCTGTCACAGCACTACTAAGAACTGTAGACAGAGGAAAGAAGATTCCTATCTAAGTTTGAGTAGAAACAAAGTTGAAAGCAAATAGGTTGGGATGACTGGAGAATTAGTTGGAAGAGGAGTGGAGAGTTCACTTAATGTAGAAGTAGGAATGAAAAGTAGGAAAAGATGGAAACGAGCAGTAGTTGAAAGAGTTAAGGCATGGAGTTCATGTGCAGGGAATACTGAATAGAAATGGGAAACGCAAATTCTAGTTTTGCTTATCTCCCCTAAATAATAATGCTAAATAAAAGTTTAAAAAAGAAGAAATGTAACAGCAACATGGAAGTATGTCTAAGTTCATTGGCACTGATGGTACTTCAGGTTATTTGTAGGCATTGTATCTGATTCTGAAGAGTCAATATAGACCTTGACTAAAAAAAAAAATAAAATAAATAAATCTTCTATTAGATGACTCGCTTTTGTGCCAGTGCAAAGAGTGGAATGTAGAGTCTTCTATTTATTTATAATCTTAAATGTTCTAAATTCCAGGTAGTCCATGACATATTAAGACATATATATGAGATGTTACTTGGGTATTAAACCGATGATAGTATGCTCGTTTTAAAATGCTGTACTCTTTAAAGATTCTTGTGTGCCTTTGCCTTGCATAGTGAATATACATAAGATGCTTTCGCAGCAGCTGAATAATTTATTTTGAGATAGTCTTTCAGGGGTACACATTAAAGTTGTGTGGATTGATGTCAGAAACTGAGGTTAAATAACAGGCTCGAGGTTAAATAACAGGCATTCTGTTAAAACTATTCCACGCCTATGTCACTTGACTGAATAGTAATTAAATATAGATGGAAACAATATAATGAACTTAAATGTAAGGTTTTAAGCTGGTGTCATGTACCAACACGTTAAGTTGTGCAGTATTTTTCTCCTGCTTAGATTAGTCGTAGATTTGAAAGGAAACTGTCCCCTTACTTCAGCCAGTGAGAGGCATATAGGCAACTGTTTTCAATGTTTAAATAATAAGCACATTTTAAATAACATGCCAATTTTTTAACTGTTGTGTTGGTGATTTGTTAGATAGGAAGATTAAATTTCACAGTAGTGGCTCTCCACTGTAAGCTTACTGATGCCATCCTTGAACGTTTGCAATCCACTTCCTTGCTATGCAGTTTATATTTGGAGACACAGTATCTTATAGTAAGTGCCCAACATATGTTGCTTTACATGTTAGCATCTATGTCCTGATTGAATCTAGGAGTAAGAAGGAGGCATGGGACTTCTTACTGAACTGGTATCATTTCCATTCTCAATGCTGCTTAGTAGTAGTCAGTTGCTGCTGAAGTTTCCATATGATCTTTCAGGCTTGGTCCTAATTATAGTTAACTGCAGTCATGTGTTCTAGGAAACACAGTCAGAGTTAGTGTAGTGTATTTTATAGAAATTACTGCATTTAGATAAATTAACACTTGATTTTCGTCCATCAAGTTTTTGAGGCAAGATGGGTCCAGCAGCAACAGAAAAACTGAGACAACTTCACTATCAGAAGCTTCTTGGCTACAAGCAGTGGCAGTATATTCATGGAGTAGAGACCATCTTTGTCACGTTGTTTTTGTACTACTTCAGCCTTCAACTATCATTTCTGGTAGACCTCAGCATTTCTTTATTTATTTGCTCTTTTTCAAATTTTATTTTATTTTTTAATTGTTTGGGGGTTTTTTTTTCCACAAAAGTTGAGGCAACACTGATGTGATACCAGCTGGTTGTATTGGAAAATAGGACATACTCTGCATTCTGAGAAAACTGCTGATCAGTTTGAGATGTTACTTCCAGAATTTTCCTGTTCATTAGGAAATGTAATGAAAAATTTATAACCAAAGAATGCTAACTATTCTATGATTCTATAATGCAGTCTATATGTCAAACTTTGTAACTTTTAGGATTGAAGACTTTGATCTATACTTTTTATTTTGAACACAGTCGATCTTTGTTGCTCATGTTATTCAGTTGGATCAAAGTCAGTGTAATTGTTTGTGTCTTATTACTGCTAGGAGGCTATTGACCATCAAAAATCAAATTATCTTAATGACAGTTTCAGGCTGAAGGATTAAGAGAAGCATCAAGACCTCAAAATAGATTTGCATTAACAGTCTTCGCAATTTCCAAAAGGAAACATTTAGTGGAAGAATTATGACTGGCTAAACTACCAGAGTAAAGAATCTGTCTTTTCCCCATGAAGTGTCAGCCCATCAATTAAATGAAGAGTAGCTAAGCTCAGCTTCTTCCATTACATACTTACAGTCCTCATTAATGAGGGACCTTTTTTCTAGTTTTCACCTGATTCTCTATTCCAGTAGCACATAGTCTGAGATGAGAATGTCCTGTTGCATTTCAAGAGATTGAGCAAGCACAACATCTGCCAAATCTCCTTGACAACCAGCATGTCCTCTTCAAGATAAGGATATTCTGTGAAATGGAAAACAGATTAATCCTGGATCCACTTCATCTTATCTTCAGAACATTCAGCCAGCTTCCCACATTGCCAAATGTCTGATTCTTTTTTTAATACTGACTAATTAAATCATGGATTTCGGAAGGAGTTAATTAGAGGAAAGAGAAAAATTCTGTTATCAAGGTTGCATTCCAAAAAGAGCTGTAAAAAATTTAAATATGCCAGAACTTGGGCAGAATTCAGTATATGGTACAAAAGGAGCCAGAATTCCTCTAGACTTTTATTTGCTCAGTGGCACTAAAATGTTAATGCAGTAAAACACAGGCACAGACACAGAAACAAATACGGTTTGGGTTGTATTTTCAAAAAGTCTCCAGGCTCCTAAAGAAACAGAAAGAGGATTTTCAGGATGTTGGAGATAATGGGAGTTAGCTTTCTAATCTGCTTATGACTTAAAAATTCCACTACATTTCTGTTTGGGCACATGGTACTCCTGAAAATATGGCTTGCCTTAGAAGTCCGTATCCTGGGGATGGACATGACATATCAAAAAATTTGAGTTCTGTCACCCTAGGCTTTCAGTTTTGATTGTCATTTGACATTCTAGTAACAATATAGGGATTTTTGTGAAAAGTGAGAGATTTCTTTTTTCTCAACTTAAAAAATGATGTACTGGCTACCAGATGCTAGAGAAGCAAACGCAGTCCATACTTCATTATGATGAGTCCATGATATTTTCCCGAGTTATAATTTCAGAATTAAAAAACAGGTTGGTAGGAGAGAAGAGGCATGAGAACCTGGGAATTCTGACAACCCACAACACTGGGTGCTAGTTTGTTCGGTAAGTGTACGGCTTTATTTAGCCCCAAAAGCTAATCTCATTATTTGCGAATTGCTTTCGCTTTGGGGGTTAATGTGCTTTATTACCCCAACCAAACTATTGGAGCTTTACATTTTCTGCTTTACGAAACAGAAATTTCAGAATAATATTACAGAAGATGTATGCATGTTATTTACTGTTCTACCTTCTTTTGGACAGGAGTACAGAGACAGATTTTCCCTTCCATAGTTTTTAATGTTCTCCTGTTTTATTTCGTCATCGCTGAATATTAGACATTTTCAACAAATACAGAACTTTTTTTTCTTTCTCTTTTTTTTTTTTTTAAACTTCTAGTAGGCTTATTGCCCAAAGTTGCCCTTTCAGTAGCTTTGCTTACTGAAATTTGTGGGCTACTTCTGAAAATAAGACGAGTCCAAACAAAGGGTGTGTGCTATTTAGATGAAGTATCATGTTTACATCAAATTTAGTGGCTATGTGGATACGGTATCTTTGTTTTAATAATATATATGTCACCTTTGCATCTTCTTTATCCTGAGAAAAGCATATATCAAGCCAGTTAAAGAAAATATGTTAGGTTTGGTTTCCTGATGTCTTTTAAAATAAGAGCTTCTATTATGTATTTTTAAATGGCATAAAGTGATCACTGTGTTCTTTTATATTTTGCTTTGAAACTTAAATGTTAAATCCATCTTCCTTGGCTTAAGATGTAAAGTATGCCAAATATTTTTTGCCTGGTTGCATAGAAGCTGAGTAATAGCAACAAAGGCCTTGAATCAAGCCTAATGAAGATCAGTGGAGATCATCCTGATGTCATTTGTGAGAGTTGGACCAGGCCCTAAGGCAAGAAGATATGAAAGTAAACTCTTTCTAGGGATAAGAAGCAGCATCACTATAATCAACATCATGATAAAAGCAGTACTGCAAAAATTCTCTTATCTTACTGTTTATCACTGAATGTGAATTCTGCTCACTTTTGAGTTTGTTTCTATTTCTGACTCATTTAAAGCTTGTATTATTTGCATACATTGATGCTATTGTCAACACCATAACAGGTAGGAAGACAGGAAGACGACCAATACCGGCATGGACAAGAGTTCCATTTTCCATATTGATGTATCTAATCTGTGTATACTCTCAAAAATAACTGTCCTCTCATTAGGCAGGAATCTTCAGCATGAATGCATGTGAAGAGGGGTTTGCCACTGGTGGCAGGGATGGCTGTGTTCGCTTGTGGGACTTAAATTTTAAACCAGTTACTGTGATTGATCTCAGGGAAACAGACCAAGGATATAAAGGTAAAAAGGTTTGTCATTTTTGGTATACCAGTAAGGTACGAAATTTACCAGTGTTTTGAACAAGAAAAGACCTTAAAAAAAAAAAACCCAAACCAAAAAGGTTGTTTCATGTATGTTACTGTGAACTATTTGCTAGAAAAGAAATTTGATCCTGCCACTAGTGTGAAAGTCACGTAGTCCTTCAGAGTTACTGCAAAACATACTGTGAGTTTGTAGAAACAGATTTTTTTTTTTTTTTTTTTTAAATCAATAAAATGCACATCTTTTCTGTAGCATAGCAGTTTTTAACACGGAAAAGTAAAACTTTAAGAGAATTTAAAAGAGGCAGTAAGATCTACAGTGTAAAACAGTGGAGTACGAAAATTATATTTGTTAGTTATCCAAATTTTCATTAAAACTATTTGGAAGTTATCTACAGTTTCATAGAACTTAGAATGCTGCAATTACAGTTTGTCATGCTAAAATTTTAAATCCAACAGTCTATAGCATGTTTTGTAGGTGTTGTAGATATTGTTGCTATAGTGATTCAGGAACAGAACACAAAAGTATACTAAAGCACTAATGTTACTTACAGCATTGCTTTTGTTGGCATTTGGTTTTCTTTGCCCCTAGTCACTTCATTATTTTCTAATATCTCTCAAAGAATTTGACAGTGTGGTACAATGTCCAATGGCAGTCAGATATTCAGCGTCAATAAATAATTGACTGCAAGTTGAATCTTAGTATTGTGTAATTGACTTGGCATTCCAGCCAAGATAGTGAAGTATTGCAACGAGATGGAATATGTTCCGTTTTAAATGTCCTTTGGTACAGAGGCTCTGTTTTAATTTTAAATTTACTCAGCTGCTGTTTTTCAGCTCTGTTGAAAGGTATGTTTTATTCTCCATTTTATTCTTTCAAACTTGTTCTGCACTCCAGATTGTCTCCTTTACTTTTGGTGGAACAGACTCTTGCCATGAACTCTTGGGTCTTGATCACTTATGTGAACTCCATCCTCATCTTTTAACTTCTCAAATTGCCTTGGCAGACCTGATAGATTTTATAAAATGCTATCTTTAATAAATTCAGTTTCCTGAATCTTTTCACTTCAGTCTTTTTTTTTTTTTTTTTTTCTTACTGTATTCTTTTGAGGATTGCTTTTATGACCTGTCCTACTTTTTTTCTTAATTGCATTTTCTGCTGCTCCTATAACTCACCTTTTGGTACTTCTATCCGTAAACATAAACTCAAGTTCTGTAACCCTGTGAATGGCTCACAGAGCAATTAGTTGACTCTTGATACATCTGCAAGTAGTCAAATTGTTTATCAAAATATCTCCCTCCACAATAAGAAGTTCCAAATTACTAAACCCAGATGTATTAATCATCCTTCATCAAAGATTCTGGTTGTTTCTTTATTTTTTTTTTTTTTAATCACTGCAGACAGTAGAGCCATATAATGGCTAGATCATAGGGTTGAGTGGTAAGGTGGTTATGTTCACCAGTGCACCACAATAGGAACAAATCTGTAAGAGCAGTTGGTGTGGAGAGTTAAAGTAACACAACATATATGCATTTTGAGGAGTGTTTGAGGGGTGTTAGCCCTAGTTGGATTCAGTGGTCTGAACACTGTGTTGCAGTTGGAGTGTACTGAGTGCATTCCTAGAACACATCTTTCAGTTCTGTTTTGTATTGAGGGAGTCTTATTTGTGCGTTTGAAGGCTATCTTGTAATGCAAAGCATAGTAAATAGGCACGATCAGGAGCTTTGGATCACATGTATCAGACTGGCCTGCTAACCCACCCATTCACTGTTTCCGAGACTCGCAAATTTTTCTTCAGTGTAAATTTAATAACATAAGGCATCTCTTTTCCCTCTACATAGTTAAAAATATTTTTCAGAAGCACATCAACTCGTATCAGTACAATATTCCTTTCAACTGATAGATAAAACTGTGTCATATTAATGCAGAGTAGTTTTTCAAAGATCATTCTTGAGCTATTCTCCACATAAATTTAGACAAAGTGAGTTAAGCTAGGCATTGCTACCATCTGGTTATCTACACCTCAAACTGGCAAAATTAAGTTTCACTATCAAAGTGCAGCAGAAATAGCCCATTTTAAAAGGTGCATATTCCTAAAATTGGGCACGAAGACTGGATTCTCAGTTACAGCAGTCCTAACTTCCATGTTACTGTTCTCGACCTTAGCTACAAACAAGTACAGCCTCTGAGTGCTCACCTCCACTGTAAGCCTGTAAACTTAATTAGTTACTAGAAATGCACATTAGAATTCCATCATAAACCCTTTTCATCTCTTTATATGTTGTTTTGGTTTGTTTTAGTTTTATCTTCTATTTAGTGACAAAAATAATTCCGGATAGTATTAAGATGTTACATAGATTTGCTTTAGGGGCAGCATCTCAGGCATAACCTGGGGAGAACTGGGCTCTTTGACTGTCTTGCATGTAATGTATGTTCCACTGCATATCTAGCTAGTACTAAGGTCCGTGGTTTGATCAGAAATTGTAATTTATATAGTCTGCTACCTTTGTTGAAATTTAAAGACACGAAATGTGTAATTTCAGATACAAATGTCAGTATCATCTTTCTCTGTCAGAGATCTTGTAATACATGAATTGGCTACATGTCCTTTATTAAAATATGGGCCACGTTTTATTTCAGATTTTTTGTAATACTAAGCTTGAAAAGTTAATGTTACAAGGGCAGTATGTGTTACATGGAATTGATAAAAGGCATAGATGGAGGAATAAGAGAAGGTGTATGGATACTTCTGGACGTTTGCTTGCTTTTATGTTTTGTCATGTGATGCATTACCTTTGTTTCACAAATTCTCAGGATGTATCTTTTAGTAACAATCTCTTCTGCAGGTTTATCTGTAAGAAGTGTTTGCTGGAGAGGAGACCATATACTTGTTGGGACGCAAGACAGTGAAATTTTTGAAATTGTGGTGCATGAGCGTAATAAGCCTTTCCTGATAATGCAGGGGCACTGTGAAGGAGAGCTCTGGGCTTTGGCTGTTCATCCTACAAAACCTCTAGCAATGACTGGAAGTGATGATCGATCAGTCAGGTTAAATATTCTTTCTTTGTTTAACTGTGTACAATTTTATACAAAGTAGATAACTTAGAATGTGGCATTGAACCAGTGAAGTTACGCATGAAATTAGTGCTCTCCAGTAATAAAATATAGTAGAGATGTGTATTTCACAAAAAATGAAGTGTACAAAACCTGAGCAAATTTAATTTAGGCTAACATGAAGCTCTCATATGCAAGTATCCTGTGAGTGTTTCCTTTTAAGGAGTTACAGGTTACAATGAAAAATTGGCATTTTTCTTAAGTATCTTTAGTACAATGTAATTAAGCAAGAAAGCAGTTAAATTATGAATATTGAAATAATGCCCTAGAATTCTAGATATATCTTGTAAATGATAGCTGTTGTAACGTATCTTGTAGTAAAAACTTACATGTTATAATATTATCTAGTTATAACTAGTTTATTAATAATGGCTTGTTAATAGGAAAGGATGTGTTTACTGACAAGAGTCTTTAATTTTTCTTGACTAAAATGATTAGCAAAATAATGGAATTTTCGGAGTGTTTCTTCCTGGTATATATTATCAGATGTTGTTATTATTTTTATATTTAGAAAGTTAAACAAAATTAATCTGCCCCTGTATTTTCTTATTAGATATTTTCTCTCTATTTTAAGTATAGAAAGGTCTTTGCTGTATGCAAAATTCATGCTTTTGTCTAATATTTTCCTTATGGCAAATATTAAAAATTATTTTAAAATAGGACACTATCATGTTCAGTGTTCTGCAGAAATTGCAGGCTTTGTGCTGTCTGTGGCACAGCTACAGACCACTCATTACATTTGTACTTCCTGCTTTATTTTAGAATTTGGAGTTTAATAGACCATGCTCTGATTGCCCGGTGCAATATGGAGGAACCCATTCGTTGTGCCGCGGTTAGTACTGATGGAATCCATCTTGCTCTTGGAATGAAGGATGGCTCTTTCACTGTCCTTCGAGTTAGGTATGTTACAAAAATTAGATACATCATGAACTCTTTCAAGCATGTTGTCTAGTTGCTTTTATAAACTGTTTGCACATTGACACTGTAGTGACCATACATGAGATGACTTACATTACTGTTTTAAATTACTGATCTTGGAGTGCTCAGATTTTTTAAACGTGTGGTACATGTGTTCATGTTGTCCATAACAACACATTTGAAAAAGTATATAGGTATATTTGCAAAGAATGGCAGTGTTTTAGGACATGTTTTATTTTAGGTTTTAAATGTATTAATTATTCTTGAATTACTAAAATATAAGTTTTCATTACTCCCTAAATTGTTTCCATGTGTTGGAATGCTGCTGTCAGCACATCATTTATGCAAAAACATTGCTGCCTTGTTGCTGCAGTCCCAGAGTTTTAAAGGGAAAATGAGATCTGTGTCTCACGTCAGTGAAGTTTTCTTCCCTGAGTGAATAAAGATCTGGTAATCAACTTGATTAATTTTTTTATGGACCCAGTTTGAACAGTTCCTTTGTTCACTCTCCCTCAGCCTAGTGCAGCACCTTTTTGTGGCACTGTTCCCTTCTCTTTTTTGGCCACAAAGCCCTACTCAACTCTAAAAATAGCAGCTTTGTGTTTGCATGTATGACAGTAAAGTTCATGATTTTATCTGTTTTTTAAAACTGGGAACATGACAGTTTGATAAGGCTCTTCTATACTTATGGCATGCTTTCTTTCGTACTACAGAGATATGACTGAGGTTGTTCATATCAAAGACAGGAAAGAAGCTATTCATGAACTGAAATATTCACCAGATGGGAATTTTCTAGCTGTTGGTTCCAATGACAGTTCTGTGGATATATATGGTGTTGTTCAGCGATACAAGAAAGTTGGGGAATGTATTGGATCTTTAAGTTTCATCACCCATATGGATTGGTCTTCAGACAGTAAATACTTACAGACTAATGATGGCAATGGAAAGAGACTTTTTTACAGAATGCCAAGTAAGATTTTGAGTTGCCTTTATGATATCTGTTACTTGTTACAGAAAGAACGTATAGTAGTTTGGCAAGAACAGCCAAATACAGATTCTGGTTCAAAGCACTGGGTTACAGAGAATTTCTTTTTTTTTCCCCTTAAGTTCTTATAAATACCTGCTATATTTGAATAAGTACAGTGTTTTCTGACAAAGCTACTTAAATATTTTTATATCATGTGTTTACTTTTTATAATGTATGTTTTCATAGTAGAGGTGCTGGCTAATGATTTATTTTATTTCTGAAAACTTAATCTTTGTTCCCAGTTTTTTAGGAAAAAAAAAAACCCAACCAAAAACCTAAAAAACCCAACCCACTGCATTGAAATTAAGTTTTGCATTAGCTTAATAGCTTTGTACTTACTGAGCTTGGGTATTAAATGGGTTACAGTCTGCACTGTATGTTTTTTAAAATGTTTGGAAAAATCAATATGTTCTGTCTTGGAAGAGTCATCTGATTTTCTAGAACTATTCTTGTAGTAGAACTGAGGAATTTAACTTAGGAGAGCTTTTACAGTGAGAACACAGAACTAATCAGAATGCAAATTAATTTGAAAGTATAATGGGTTAAGGTAACTAGAGAAAATAAGAGTACCTGATGTAAGGATGCCAGAATGCAAGTATTACTCACTGGAAAGAAAAGAAATATTGACGCTGGAAAACATGTATTATTCAATCATGCAACCTTCAAAATGAATAAAAATATCAAAATTAATTTTACTGATAATGCAAGTTTAAATGTACCTTTTTATGGCAAGGGACTATTAAAAAATCAGTGTATTACATAATACTAAAATACAGTTTTCAGACTCAGAGTTTGTGGCAATCCCATTTTTGTGTTTTCAAGACAACACTATCTTGAAAACTTGACTGAACTGTCCTATACTCTTGAAACAGTTTTCACCAAGACAGTTTCTTCTGCAGTCCTGAATGCAATATGTCAATGGCAGTGTTTATCACATGGTTTGACTTGTTTTTTCTGTGTATTCACTCTTTACATAATATCATACTATATTTTTCCTACTCATTGTGTTTGTGATGTTTGTTTATTATCATCAACATTTAGTATAGAGTCCCTTTATTTGTTATACAACAGTTACAGTTTGCACTGTAAATTTATTTTTATAGTTGTAGTTCCATGGACAGAGTATTTATCCTAAATAAGCTTTTGGTCTGACACAGTACTTGTACATGAAACTTGGTGGGATTGGAACAATCTTATTACAGATAGATCTGAGATTAAATAATGTAACAAGGTTCTAAGTATAAAATTGGTATTTTCAGTGACTTACAGTGGCCAGATCTAAATGAGTTCTTTTTGCTCTAAGTAATCCAGGTTTATAGAACAGTTTAGCAACATAATTTTTCAAACTTTTTTAGAATGGCTACATGCATTTTTTATAAACAGTTGAAAATAACACAGCCTCAAGTAGATTACCAAGAAACAATAAAAACTGTAAAGTACCAAACTCATGGTCTTCTGTTAAGTTGTCTTGAGAAGCCTTACTACTGATACTGTAATAGAGAATATTAGATCAGGGCAGTTCTAGAAGTCAGTTTTTTATTCTGTCTCACTTGGATTTGTTTTCTCAAGAATGCTAAAAAATTTTACATTCTTTAAAATTGCATAATAAGTGGGTGTTCAAAAATTGCTCTTTATTTTTGTTCTTAGGTGGAAAAGAAGTAACAAACAAGGAGGAATTAAAAGGTGTTCAGTGGGCATCATGGACCTGTGTTTCTGGCCTTGAAGTTAATGGAATCTGGCCCAAATATTCAGATATAAATGATATAAATTCTGTGGATGCAAATTTTATTGGGCAAGTTATGGTTACAGCTGATGATTATGGAATAGTGAAGCTCTTTCGATACCCATGTCTAAGAAAAGGTAGTACCTTTAAGTTCAGTTCCAAACATATATTTTAGAATTTTGGTTATTCAAGAGAAAATTTTAGAAAACTGTTGTTTTGAAATTGTTATTGTTAGAGGTTTAGTTTGAGTTCAAAGATGCAAAAAAATAATAATAGGCTTGCGTGTTGACAACTGTAATAGTGACCGTATTTGTGTTTTGAATCGAATAGCCAAAAGTTCTGCTGTAAAATGCATCTTTTGTTTGGTTGGGTTTTTTTTCCTTTTTTTTAAAAATAGAATTTCATGAGGTGATGCAGTATATACCCTCCTATGAAATGCATACCTAAGTATTTCACCTTGGTCTTCGAATATTTTTCTTCCTTCTGCTGGATCAGTGATGGAGATTTGGACTAGGAACTAGAAAAAAATAACTTTACTAAATGATTAGAGGCAATAAATAAGTGAACAGCAAATTGGTCCTGTAATCAGAGTATGCCACTGAATGTCATTAGAAGTTTATGAACCTTTCCAAGACATTTTTCCTCAGAATTTTACTAGTAATAAGGACAATCACATGTGAAATTTTTAAAACTGAAGCCTAAATCAAGGTATATGATTTTCAGGTTTACTGTTCAGGACTGAGCAAACAGAGGAGGGACGTATGTGTATCATTTTAGACGAGAAAGGCTAAGGACACTGTTCAGGTTGAGCTGTAACAAATTATCACTAGCAGAGATCTCTGCCTTAAGCTGATCATGTGATGATGATCAGAGAAAGCCTGTGAAATGTTCTCTAGCTTTTAAGAAGGATCCCCTTAACCTAAGAAGTTTGCCTGGGGCCTAGGTCAAATGTCTGAAGTTCTGAAAGGGAAAACAAAAAGTTGCCCCACTGCATGATTGCAGTTTGCAGCATTGCATGTTTAATGCTGGCTGCAACGACAAGATCTTTGTGATGGGTCTTAGGATGTGCCTTCAAGCAATATGTGCTTGAAGAAATTTTTTATTTTTTTTTTTTTTTAAATGACTGATATGAAGAGTTTTTTCAACTCTTTTTGTGGAAAGGTGGTATTAAAAAAACATTTAATTTTATTCTTTCCAATTTTACTTTTAAAGTGATAAGACTTCTATTGGCACCTGAGGTAATAAAAAAATATGTTTTTGCTGTCTTCTGTCATTTTGAAGGAGTTGGAATTTGTTTCCTTTTTATCCCTTAGTTTTCACTAGAAATATAAAAACAATGAAAATGCACAAGAATCTATATAACGGAATGCTGCTAGGAACTTTTTAGTAACTGACCTTAAGATCATCCTGGAATCCAAATTTAAAAATTTATCTTAAAGACAGATTAAAATTTGGAAACATTGCTGCTATTAATTAAAATATCACTCAGAATATTTTAATTAAACTATTACTTTTTATAAGCATTACTTGATGTGTTTTCCCAGGTGGCTCTGAAATATTTATTCCATGTATATTGACAGTTATTTTCATTCTTGTTCTAGGAGCAAAGTTTAAAAAATATCTTGGTCACTCTGCTCATGTGACAAATGTCAGATGGTCTCACGATCACCAGTGGGTTGTTTCCATTGGGGGGGCTGATCATTCTGTCTTTCAGTGGAAGTTTGTCCCTGAGCGGAAGTTGAAGGATTCTCTTCATATAGCTCCCCAAGGTAAGTCATTTATTAAAAAAAATAAAAAGGTAGGAGGAGGGGAGACTGAAAGAGAAGTAAAATTCCTTGGTGGAAGGAAAGAAATAGATATTCAGAATTGCCACCTGATAAGCATTGACTAAGGCGTACCCTGTATGCTCAGTATAGCAAGATTCTGGGGGGGGGGGAAAAAAGATCCCTGTGTTGTCTGTGCAAAGGGAAAATGTAAAAGTTTGGATCATAGATACAACTTCATGAATTCCGTATATATCAGCCTTTACTACATTGACAACAACTGGATGCCAAGATGTTACTGGAAAAAAAAATTTTGATTAAAATTTATTTTAGATAATAATTGAAGCATTGTAATTGATTTGTTTAATATGAAGATGTATCAGTGCAGACTCAGCTACTGGGAAAATGAATGCTGTTTCAGTGCTGGCCTTGTCAGTGCCAAATGCAGAAAGAAGCTATAGTTCTCTTCTTCACCTTAATGAAGCCTTCAAAAAGCCTGTTTTGGTCTTTTATGATATGAATTGGTTTTCAACTAATTATTTCCTATGACTTAAATTTCTTTAGTTAAATTAATTAAATTAATTTTGGTTTTACTTTTTTTTTTTTAAATTTTATTTTAACTAGTTAATTAAAATATCTATATAGGAAGTGTTTAGATTCCTTGTCTATAGATATATAACCTTACTTCTGGCTGACACTAAGTGCAGCATACATCTGTTTTGTCACACTATTGATAATTGTCCTGATAATGGCCTTTCTAACTGTACTCTGCTAGTTTTATCACTAGCAATATTGGTTTTATCTGGATCACTGATAAAAAGATTGCTTTTTATTGCATATTTCTAGAAACATTTCTTACTGAGCGGTGATTCTGTCTTTGCAATTACATTTTGAGATCTTTTAAAATAATTTGTGTTCTAGACTGACTTTGTGTCTTGTTTCTTAATCAATAAATGTACAACATTCAATCAAAGGTTGCAGAAAGATCCAAATATATTATAATTTATCAGCCAGGACATTCTTTTCAGTTTCTATTGGAGCGAAACTCTGTTCTATAATATTATCTGGCTTTCTCCAGGTGTAAAGCAGAAACATTAAATGACTGCTCTTTCTTCAGAGTCATACAAATTTGACCACTTCCTTTCCATATAAGATTTTTCTTTTTCCCCTGTAATCTACCTGGAGAATTGCTACTTACATCAATGGCTCACTTAACCATAAGGTTTTCTTTGGAGTCCTTTACTTCTGTTGTTACCTTTCTGCTTTATATTCACTACTTCATTCTCTTATTTCTTCCTTTCTTCCTCACATTAATGTCAATGAAATAATTTTAATGAATGAAACTAAGTTGCTCCCAAACCTTCTCAAAATTATCATACTTACAAGTTGGCTTATTTCTGCTAAGTTTCTCAAATTTCAGCAGAACGGATTCTGTCAGCCTGTTAATTATTAGCAGTTTATGTGTAGCTTATGTAGGCATTGAATATCAAATCAGAAACATTAAGCAGTTACTTTAAACACTTTCTTGTTTGTGATTTAGGTTGCTTCATTTTCTGTTTCTGTTTTCTTGTTGGCAGAGAGTCTGGTTGATTCTAATAGTGATGAATCAGATTCAGATCAGTCTGATGTTCCAGAGCTGGACTCTGAAATTGAACAAGAGACACAGATCACCTATCGTCGACAGGTAAACATTCTTGTTTTGATGGTAGTTGGAATGCTTCCCAGGGCTTAAGTTGGTCTTTTATGAGGACCTGTTGAAGTCTGAAACTGGGGAGACTGAAGTCTGAGCAGGAACTGACAAAAACTTTTAGAATTGTTATTACCAGATGTATTGAAAATCTGAGACACAATAGATGGAAAAAGAAAAAAAGTACATGTATTCCTAGCATGTACTGATAGAATTTTGGTTGTAATTTAAAAACAAGTTACACTGCACAGTAACCAGCTACAGTTCTTGGGGATTTTTTACAATTATGTCAGTATTACATTTTTATGGGTGATTACTGTGGCTGAATTCTCAGAAATATGTGTTTATCATGAATCTTTTAATTTACTGTGTGCTCTTTCTTAAAGGTTTACAAAGAAGATCTACCTCAACTTAAAGAGCAATGCAAAGAAAAAAGAAAAAGTGCAGCTTCTAAGAGACGAGAGCGAGCTCCAGGGAACAGTATAAGATTACATTTTGTCCATGGGTATGAAAACTAGGATTCCTTAAAATACACAAGCAGACTGTGTTTTGTGGGATGGTGTTAATCTTCTAATAATCTGATGAAAGACTTTTTTGTCAGTTGCTTTGTGATTCATGTAAAAATAAATTTACACTAATTTAATAGAAACCTTTGATGTCAAAGTAGACTAACTCTAAACGTGAATTCTGAATTGAATTTGCACTGAAACTTTAGCTGGTACTTATTATTTGGTGACTATAATATTTGGCTATTACATAATTTTCAGTATCTGGAAAGTAATAGTTCTATTTGGTGTATTATTTTGGAAGGTTGGTGTAGTTGAAGATGGCTGGGTTCTGTACTAAGTGTTGTTTCTATCAGTATTTTATTTAAAAAAAAAAAAAAAAAACAAACCAAAACCTGTTTGTACCTTATCTGAAACAATTTACATGTTTCTGTTGTAGTTTAGGAATTAAATTTAATTCTTACCAGGTCCTACGAGTGTGTTAAAATTCAGTTTCATTCTCTTATTGGTGCTAATCTGAGTACCAAAATGACTTTCAGACGCATCCTTTAAATTCTACGATTTCATCTTTAGGATTGGTAGTCTGCCGTAACTCTTCATAAGTGAAGACTTTTTCATCAGAACAGAGATGTGGTGTCTTAAAGGAAAATGGCAGTAGATGTTACAAAATTAGAATAATGAAATAATGAAATATAAATTCCCTTGATACAAAACAAATCCAAAGCCTTTATTAAATTAAGACACTGGAAATAAGGTAATACTGTTTTCTTCTCAAAAAGATACCTCTTTGCAGGAATACAACTTCTTTTTAGAGACAAGTAAATGCACAGATAAGTTACCGGTACTGTGTATCTTTATGATGACACTTAAACAATTTTAGAAGGGCTCCATATGGAATGCTTAATAAATTAATTGGCTAAGAATAGTTAATTTTTCAACTCAGCAATTTTGTCTGTAGAAGACATGGAGTCTGAGGAATAGCTTTGGAAATAATGACAGCTGGAAAGCTTGGTACAGAGTTGGGGTTTTCTATTTCTATTTTGATGCTCCAGAATTCTCAGTTGAAGGTTTTTATATTGGTGTAGAAAATGCATTGAGGTGGGTAGATCTATACAGTCTTTAAAATTTGGTCTAGGAATCGAACCAAATGATCCTGAAGAGGATGTAGCAGAAGCAAGGGCCCTGGATCTTTGGGATTATTGTTATTTCCTTCACAACAGAAGTGAAGCTTGACCAGAATATCCAGGAATGACCAGAAGTAGAATGTCCAGTTGAGTTCTGTCTGGTTACCCAATGGGCATCAAGGAAACTAATGAAGAATCCATGCTGAACAACAGATTTTTCTCAATGTCCAGGCTGTTAACTTTAAAGTGACCCACATCCAAGTGAGTAATAGGCATATTCTCTGATTCAGGAAGTCTGCTTTGCTTCATCTTTCTTTAGTGCAATGGAAATGTCTTGGATGTTCCTTGAAAGTGTGAAAAGTGATGCTTTTTTGAACTAGGGGAATAGGAAGCTCTTTTTCCTTTCTTTGGTTTTGAGCACATTGGTTGTGTTTTGAATTTATCGACTGCCTTGAAAGATGAACTTTTTAAAATCTCTTCGTATCCTGTAAGAAATCTTTCTCTGGTTACTTCCCATTTTGGAAAGGGATAGAAATAATAATTCTGAATATGTGAGCCAGCCACTGACTAGTACAGATGAGAGAGCAACTTCTATTAACAGTATAATCTTTAAGTGCATCTTTCTCTAAGAGGTCTGATGCTGTCATCATCAGAATCATGTTATTAAAGTGGTGTACTAGTTTGGCCTCTTTGACTATTCATGTATTTTCTTTCTGCCATGTCTTTGACAGTGCTGGTGGCTAAGAAACATAAAAAGGATACTTCTTTTGAGAGATATTCAGAGGAGCCCCTTTGTTGGACTCAATGCTTATGAAAGTTTCTTTCTGCTGGCAGGGAATAAGGATGCAAATATTAGACTATTATATACATAAAATATATATATAATAGTAGTCTGTATTCTCTCAAACCTATGAAGCTATGCTGCTGATCTCACAAGAATGATTTTTAATTATTCAAAGGTTTTAAACAAAATCTAGTTTGAGTTTCAGGATATTCAGGATATTGATCTGACCTTACCATAAGATTAAATTTGTTATTTTTTTTTTCAAGGTGACATGGGATTTCTCATGCCCTTAAACGAGAGTCTTTACAACATCTTGCATGGATTCCTACCAGAGCGTTACAATATCTACAAATAACATCTGAAGGGAGTAGGCTATGAGTGGGTCCAGTTGAGAAAACACTATTGTCATGCAAAAATATTTTAAAAGAAAATAATCTCTGCCTTTGTGCTAAAGACTGTGACCTCAACCATGTTTATTTTGACATTTGGTTCTTCTAGAGATTTTTGGGGCAAGATTGCACTCCATTTGGAAGTTTTCTACGTATGCTTTGAAGAGTAATATACAAATTTTGAAACCCTTACAGAATCAGACAAACTATGGACATTGAGTCTTCAAGCAGAGGGGACAGTACTTGTGAAGTTGCCCCTTAATTGGCTATAGATGTGTAACTAACAACTGTGGGTAGGATCCAGCTTCAGGTTAAAGAACTTATAATTCTGTGCCTGAAGCAGGTGGTTTTATGTGTGTATCTGAACTTCTGTCAGTCAGTTGGAGATTCAGTCAGTAGTCAGTGAAGCATAAGGAGTGATTTGGCTCAAGTAATATTAAATGCTGACTATTTGGTCAACTGAGTAGCCCTGCAGGTTCCATTGACTGTATTGACTTGAACACTTGATTAAAATATAGGTGTTTATATATCTAATGCACATGTGAACACCTACATTTACATGTCTTAATCTGAAACTGAATCCAGTCCCTCCTCTACACGACCTAGGCAATGACAAAATTTTTTTCCTACTAGCATTAGGAGGCTTTTTGTGTGAAAGTTACTGTCATATTAACTTGAACCAGAGCTGGATTGATGGTTTGATTAGCTGTTGCTGAAGACCACTTGAAAACAACTATTGCAGTGTTATCTTTATTGTGCCTTGTTATGTATTTTCCAGTAACTATGAATCAGAGCTTGCTTTCCTTGTTATTTAGTTTGTAGCTGCTAATCAAGATGCCTTGTAAATTATTTCTGTGGTTTGCTTTCTGCATGCAAAGAAATTGTTTCTCTTTGTGGTTTTCCTGAGATTAGCTAATAACCTCAGTTCTAAACTGGTTTTGTAATAATGGAGGTGTAAGTATTTTGGAACTCAGGGAATGATCTACACAGAAAAATTTATGTCTGCTTGGACTAGACAGTCCATCAATTCATTCTGGTGAAAAGTACCTATATAGTCAAGGAGTTAGTAAACCGGCAATATGGGAAAGACCAGATATGTTTAAATGGTTTACAAAATGTCTTTGTTTACACTGCTTGATATTTTGGCAACATTGTTGCCAAAAATGTTTTATTTTACTTGTAAACAACTGATTGTACACCTTTTTTAATAATGGGAGGAAATGAACTAAAATCTAAACTTCTTATCATAAAAAAATATAGCTATGAGTAGTAATAAGTATTTTCCTCCTTCCTTGATAGATTTTGGAGGTTTTGAGTAGTACAGTGATATCTGGCATTAACATACTCAGTTTCACTATGCTTAGCTTTGGGTATATAGGCGATTGTTACAACAAGAGCTGGGAAAAGTCTGAATTTTTGGGTTGCAGGTAAAAGGATCTGAGACCTTTTTTCTGTCCTAATGTTTTTACTTTTATAGGTGACTTCTAAGCTTGTATGAAATTGCTCAATGTCCAGTATTTCTAAAGCATTATTTATTCAACCATACATTTTTTGGTGGCCGTTTTTTTTAAACTGTTCTCATTCAGGGTGTATATTCAGCTGCTTATGAAAAAAGAAAGAATAGTATTATTACTCTATGCTTGCAAAGCGAATCCAGTTTTTAACAGAGCACAGTGCAGAGTGAAGCATAGGAAGATGATGTCTGAGCAGCAACAGGCCCAGATATCTTCTTTGGCACTGTGCTTCCCCCTGACTGAATGTTGTCATGTCCTTTAACTGTTCATGTTGCATACTGTGATAGGTTGTTTTTGTTTTCTTTCATCACAGTTACTGCAGGTCATTCTGTATTATGTCTCTTTAGAAACTAGTGGCTGGACATCAAAGAAGGGTGTAGCCAGGCAGGGCCAGCAGGCAGCACTTTGGTCAGGCAGAAATCAGCTCCAAAACATCCAGACATGCTGCTGCTGGGGGAAGTTGTTAGTGAAAGATATGGGTGGAGGGAGAGTGAAGTACTATTGAAGAGTCTGCGCTTGTATTGTGACTCTAAATTGTGAGTCACTTTCGAGAAGAGGGAAGCGAGAATATAGCTGAGCATCAGACCTAACTGAAAGAGAGATTTTTCTAGAGACCTTGAAGGGACAGTAACTCAGGAGACACTTGAAAAGTTGTTGACTTGGACCAAACCTGAGTGCAAGTACCAATCTAAACAGTGGACTGGAGTGAGATGTATTTAAAAGCTGTTATTTCTGTGCTATCACAGTTTTTGCTGCTTTAAGAAGTTCATTAAACCATGGCAACTTGCTTGTTTGTGATCTAATGAGATCCAGCTTTGAACTTCACAGTATCACAGTCAGTATGAAACTGAGAGGAGTGCTTGGTACACCAGATGGCCATACTGCATTGAGAGGGACCTGGACAGGCTAGAGAAGTAGGCAGGGAGAAATCCTGTGAACTTCTTAAAGGGGAAATGCAACATTCTGCATCTGGGGAGGAATGGAACTGGACTATCTGCTTTGTGAGATGATTTTAGCAATTTTTCTCTAATAACATATGAGCTGAGTACCATTGTGAATAGTGTAGGAGAGCCAACAGAAAGACAGGATGTTCAAACCTGCTCTGGGTTTTCCAGTAATCACCTGCTCTGATGTTTTGCAGTAATGCATAGATCTAGTATTTGTGTTGGTCTAGTATTGGTGCACCATTTATACAAAGAAAGCTGTATATAATTTTATGAAAAATTTTCTACCTGGACTACATAATTTCTGTGTCGTTTAAATCTTTTACGTGTCTCTCATGCAGTACTTGTCTTAATGCTATCCCATTCATTTTTGTGTATGACACTTACTGGTATGTGTATAAATGCATCTTTGTCTTATGTGATAAAGACCTGCACTGTTGCAAAAAGATCTTGCATTTGTTTTCTCCTTTAAAATGTTGTGATTTGTTCTGGTGAAACATGCTTTCCATTAAGCAAACCAGTTAATATCATGAAAAGTCTAACACAGACATTTGAGATTTCTGTCAGTTTGCAGTTGCCCATGGTGAAAGTTTAGTTATTTTGTTTGCCAAGAATGGATGACTTCTGAACTGACTTACAGTGTTCAGGGCTTTTTTTCAATTAGTTAGAATTTGGGTTCAAAAATACTTAGGTAAAGCCTTATGATTCCTAAATAAGGCTAATTCATGGCCAGTTCAAACACATTCAAGTGTCATTCCCTTCTTATAAGTGTAACTATATATTTAGAAATGTAACCAGATTTTGCCTGCATCTTTGTAAAGTAATTCAAAAGTTTAGTGAAGATCTGCAAGAACAGAAGAGGAAACAGAAAGAGGTTAGCTGGGGAATTAATAGCATAGGAACAGGGTGTATCAGGAGCATACGGAGTACTGTTCATATCAGAAGAAAGGAAGGAATGGATTTAAGTTACACATTTTTAAATGTTATCTCCATTGACTGGCAAGGATCGCGTTGTTAAAAACAGTAGTTTAAAACTTGCTTGTTTAATGATTTCTTAAATTACTTCTGAAAGTAGGATGCTAGCCTTTTTGAAAATCCTGCCATTGTTTCTTGTGGGGTACTGAACTGTAATCATACCTGGGAAGAAATGTGTATACTGTGATAGTGCATGCAGACCTCAGTAGGGAATTGTTCTATTCATGCACTTTCTGTGCCAGTACAGAAAGGATACAAGTTTTTCCTTCGAAACGAACTGATGTGGTAGAAACTTTATGCATTTATTTTCTATTAGTAAGTTTCCAGAAACTTCCAGTTTTGTGATATCTGGGTTGTCCACATTCTTGTGGAAACTTTTTGCTGCCTGTTGTTTGAGCAGTAAGAGATAGAAAATGTTCAAAGTACTAGTTTTGGCTGTTTTCTTTGATTACATGTTGCATGCCCAAATTCTTCATGTTGTCTGAAAAAATTACTAGCTATTACTTTCTCTTCTAAACTAGTTGTGGAGAGTTACTATTAAATCACAGCCACTTTCAAACTAATGCTAGTATTACTGATGTCTGAATAGTAAATGAAATTGATAAATTGGTGTTCTTTTAGGAAAATCTGTTAATAATCTTAAAACACCAAAATAGCAATTGTTAAGTAATTTGAGTTTTCACGTGTGCAAAATGCATTTTGCATTATTTTATCTCTAAGTTTCAGTATATATCGTTATGACCTTGAAGAACGAACTTTTTTTCTTTAGTTACAGAGGTTACGACTGTCGGAGCAATTTATTTTACACTCAGACGGGTGAAATTGTATACCATGTTGCAGCAGTGGGAGTGGTGTACAACCGACAGCAGAACACACAGCGCTTTTATCTAGGTCATGATGATGACATTCTTTGCCTTGCTATTCATCCCTTAAAGGACTATGTGGCAACAGGCCAGGTAGGATGCGTGTTTAGCTGCAATATAATCTGAAGTTGTTACTACTGAATTTAGCAAAGCCTGTTTTGGAGGCAAAAAGTCCAGTGTACATTTGTTAAGGTGAAGGACTGCATTTAAGTTGCAGTTCTTTGACATGATTCCATCTGCTACATAAGGTTTTTTCCCCCAGTTCTTTATGTTAATTCTGATAAGAGACTTCAGTTGATAGTTTTTTGTGAATATCTGTGGGGGGTTTTTTTTAACATCTTTTTTATTTAAGAACAGATGCATATTTTTTTTTATTCAGCATTATGTTGCTGCTTCATGATAACAGTGGAGGAAATGTGCAATTAAAATGGGGGTTTTTTGTGGGTTTTTTTTTAGTATCTTAGTTGTGAAGTTAGCTATGTTGTTATTACATTCATATACTATTACATAACATGAAGTTAGCAGTTGTTGCTACGTTCTGCCATTTCAGTTTCATGTGTCCTGGTTTTGGTTATCACTTATAGCCAAACTATTTACTGTTTATACATGCAACAGAGGTGTGTATGTAACAAAAATATTTATAGGAAGTTCATTTTATCTTTCATGAGACAGTAGTTTTAGGTATATCTTTTTCACTCATGTTTTCAGGCAAGTATCTCTTCCCCTAAATGTTTATACATCAGGATGTAAAGGCTTGATTTGGTGTTTCAGAATTTTTAAGTTATTATTGCTGTTGTTATATAATAAATTGGAGAATATGTGAATTGAAGGTTTTAGTAGAAACAAACTTTTACTTAAAATGCCCTTAATTTGTGTAAAAACGTGTGAGGTTAACATAAATTTACGGGTCAGTCTAGAGATTAAAGACCTAAATGTGAGAATTTATTCTGTTTAATTTTGGAGTAGTAAAAACTAGAACTAAAAATGTGCCTGGATTTACTATGTTTTAGAACACCTTATACTATCAACAAAAAGATATATTCCGTTACATACTGGTTTATATATGCACATTATGTACCGTTGTTTACTATATTACCTGCAGAAATTAGTTAATGCAATAATCAAATTCCCCATGGAACAGTGGTTCAGATTTTCCTGATAGTAGATATTACAAAGAGCTTTGCAAGCATCACATGTTAAGTTTGTGGCAAAACCGGAATACATACTTTTTTCTTGAGTCCTGCCCCTGGTCTTAAACACAGGAAGGTGTTCTGGTTTTGTAGCTCTTTTTGTGTACTGAGGTGCAAAATCTTTGGAATAGCAAATAATCTTGTAAATATTTACTAATAATGCTTGTATGTAGTTGAAAATAATAAGTTATGTTGCTTTTCTTACCATGTTCTAGTTACCTGCTTTGGTGCCATTTTAGTGGGTATTACTCCATAGGTATTGATGCATTAGAAGCTAAGTTGTAGGCACTTGTAATGATAACAGAAAGCAGCAGAAGTCACCTTGATTTCTGAAAAACAGAGCAGCTTCCATACTAGCAATAAAAATAACCTTTTATTTTTAGACAGGGAATGATTGATAGAGAATTGATGGAATAAATATGCCACAGTGCAATCAATGAAGGGCTGCTTCCCGCCCTCCTCCCCCCAAGAGGCCTCTATTTAAATGTGATTAATGTGTCTGAGTTATTTGGAGGGAAGAAAGAGCCAGCTGGGGAGTGGTATTTGTAAAGCAGGAGAAGGAATAATATACTGCTAGCCAGATGAAAGTAATAATAAGAAAATTTTATCTCTGTAATTTTTTTTAATACTTTTAAAAGTATTTGTCAGTATTATACTTTTAAACATCTGTGTGAAGTAATTGAAAAGAAAAAAATATTCTTATAAATGTTTACTTTCAGGTTGGTCGAGATTCCTCAATACACATTTGGGATACTGAAACAATAAAACCACTCTCAGTATTAAAGGGCTATCACCAGTATGGTGTTTGTGCTGTTGATTTTTCAGGTAATAAGTATTTATTTATTTATTTATTTATTTTCAATTTTCCTTTTCTGTACGAAAGCTAATCAGTTCTAATGAGCAATTGGGAATTCCTTTACACTGAAGATTTTGTATTAAAGATATTCTCCAGTGATCAATGTCAAGTGAGGGAGGCTGTGATCATTCATTACAAAAAGCTTGTGTGGATGCTTGCACATCAGGAAATGCAAGAACAGGTTCTGTGTCATTTAATAGTTGAACTGATCACTTTGGAATTTCTTTCGATTGTATGAGGCAAGTGCACAGATCTTGTGTTATGTCTGCATTACAACTGTGTAAGCAAATTTTTAAGCAAATTGATCAGGTGTGCAGTTTTAAAAAATTTAAATCCTGCAAGCCAATTGAATATCACACTGGTAAATTCAGAAAGTCCAGTTACGGAGGAGTTCTGGGCAGAAACCCAGCCTCTCTCTCCATCTTATACTAACATATCTTTTGAGATTTTTACACCCCATACATTGAATTCCTCTACCAGTGTTAAATTTCCTCTTTTCCGCTGACTTCTGTTCATTCTTTAATGGCTTGGATTTAACTAGATCTCTAACCTCACATTGAAAACGTGCGATCCCAAAGATGAGTAGTTTGAGGTCTTTGATGCTTCTTACCTTTGGTGGTTCTTTTTCAAGATGTGAATCTGGTTTCCCAGATTCTGTCACAAATGTATAGCAGTTTCAAATATGGTCATATGTCAGAAAGTTGTTGATCACGAGTGAGCACAAACAACTTCTTTCTTGGATGTTAATGTGGGATACATGTCAGAGCTTCTCAAAGACTTTACACTGTTACTAAGTTCAAGGATATTTCATAAACTTCATGGTATTGCTTCAATGCTTTCCTGTTTAAAAATGAACAGGGATTTTCAAACTGAACAGAAAATTCTCACAGTACAACCTGTGATTAAGGTTTTTGTGCAGCTATGTCAGCGAACACCTGAACAAAGGATTTGATAAAAACATAGAGGATCTAAGCACAATTTTTAGACAGGGTAACTTAAAGTCCTAAGCTCCATCCAAGTGATCACTCAAGTTTAAAAGCAGACAGACATGCCTTTAAGCATGTCACGTGGTTATTTACCTGTTTCTATATTCTTTTTATAATATTTGTGAGGTTAGAATATTCCTTAGTATGGTTACTTATTATTGCAACATAGTTATGTATCTACTCTATTAATCATAAATTTATCTTTCTAGCGGATGGGAAACGTTTGGCTTCTGTTGGAATAGATGACAATCACACCATTGTACTCTGGGATTGGAAGAAAGGTGAAAAGCTTTCAGCAGTAAGGTAGGAATGTCACTCCATTTTTAAATTTGTACATAGATTTACTCTCAAATGACAGTAAGGAAAATACATTAAAGAATAATAGTTCTCTAATAAATTAGCAGTTTCTGTCACTTCAGCGATAGAGCACAGCTTTAAACATATTTAGGACAGACTTAAAAATTTCTTTGAAGAAGAAACTGTTGACTCTTAAAGTCAGCAAAAATTATTTCAGTGACAGCTTAACTGTTTATTTACTTTTATTGGATGAGTTCCGAAATAATTTCATTAAAACTCACCCCATGTACTTTTGTTGGCCCTCTCCAGAGAGGGTAATGTATGCTTTGCTTTTCAGATCTTTTGCATTAGAGATCCTGTCTTTCTTGAGATACTAGTTTGTGGTGGTTTTTTCTCAGTTGTCTTTTCTTCAGTGTTCTTTCATTTTCCTTTCTGAGTCCTGAGCAGCCTGATCTAACTTTGAAGTTAACTTTGCTTTGAATGGGAAGTTGGGTTAAATAACCTCCAAAGGTTAAATATTTTGGGAAGATTTTTTTGATTCTGCTGAGATTATTTCAATTACTTCTATTAAATGTAGTTTTAATGTACAAGATAAAAATGTTATTTCTGATGTTGAGTAATGTTTTTGAAACCTTTGACTGTTTTTGAGGATCTATTGCTTTAAATAGAGCAGTAATGTGAGTGGGTATTTGCCCACTCTGTCTAGATTCAGTATGTATACACTAAATAAAGTTCTAGGTAGATTTGAAAAGGATTTATTATTCTTTGCAGCTACAATTTAAAAAATATTAACTTTCTATGCAGTAAGTTCATCATTGCTCTTCAGTGCCCTTGACTCTCATTTTCTTTTTAAACATGCTTTGAGTTTCTTACCCTCCGTGGAGTGAAAATCCTGAACAGATGTAAATGAAGAAGAACTACTCCCTTCCCAGTTATTTGTCAGAAGCCCAGTTAGCTTGGCTTCCCTGAAGAGACTGGTTTGGGCTTTTCAGTTGCCTGTTGTCGCAGTGATGGTTTTTTGTTTTGTTCTTTTTTTTTTTTTTTCTTAAACCCCCCTACTCTCCGAACATATCAATCTCACTTAATTCCCTTTTTTAATCAAACTTTAACCAGTTTATACTGGATTTAGTTTCTGGAGTCTGTTTCTTCCTACCTACTCAGAAGAATTGAATAGAATTTTTGAGCAGCATATACACATTGAAGATTAAACTGTGAGTTTGGAAAGAAATTGGTTCATGCTTTTTGCTACTACTTCATTTAGTGGTCTGGAAATGACAGAGGTGAAAGATTGTTGCTGCTCTTGAACAGGGAGCAAAACTTAGGGGTTAGAGGCTCTTCTGCATTTTAAAGACAAAAAATCCCTACTAGTAAGCATTTCTTACCTTGCATAGATAGCAAACACATTTGAAAGCTGGAGTTTTTTTCCACACTACAGGACTGAAGCAAGGTGTTGGTTTTACAGAAACATAGTAAGAAATCTAAAACATACAACAGGTTATAGTGTTTCTAGAAACAACTGAAATTTATATTTAGAGTTTATATAGCAGCATGTTTTATCCTAACAAAAGTGGAAAAATCAATTAAAAGGTGAATGAAAATGTCTATTTGTCTTCAAAATGAACGACTTCTAAAAAAAATTTACAACTTTATGTTTTTAAGTTTCATTATGAGCTCTCAGAGATCTAAGTGCTGTATACCTAAACTTAACGCAAACGTGTATTCTTTTGCAAAGAAAATGCCACCTGGTGGATTTCTGAAGTAACGTAATTACCTTCTTTGGAAAGTAAAGGGTAGTGAAAATAGGACAGGACTTCGTATGGTAGTTCTTTGGCTTTCTTCCTTCTCATAATAAATTATTGTTAATGATTTGGAAGGAAATGTTAGCAAGATAGAGAAGGTATACATTATGGGACAAAAAACCCCAGACTAAACCCAAACCAAAACCTATTTAAAAATATGAGTACCTTTTTTTAAAATTTAAACTAGTTTGCTTTCCATTTCAGGGGAAGTAAAGATAAGATTTTTGTTGTTAAGATTAATCCTTATATGCCTGATAAATTGACTACAGTTGGAATCAAACACATGAAATTCTGGCGCAGAGCAGGTAAGGAAAATTTTCAGAATTACAGCATTTTCTGTTACTTAAAGTAAAACATTGCATCTCTTATAGTATGTTTTGTGCATTAAATGCAGATGTTTTCTCTGTGCCTCTTTCTGTTAGCTTTGGTCTAGTAGAAATTCATATTAATTGGCATTATGGTAGTAATGGAAATTCTTTTTAAGATCAGCTTGCCATGGAGCTAGGAGTACACAAGTAGAGAGGATGCTGGATTTCCTACTTTCTGTTTCTTTTTATCTAATAATGATATAGTACCTCCGAAAATACTAGAGCCGCTCTAAAATCATAAAATAATTTGGAGGAAGGACCTTTAGAAGATGTGTTTTGTAAAGAGACACTAATATAAGTAAATTTAAGGATATAAAATTCCACATAGAAGAATTCAAAGTACTTGAAGAGGATACATGTGCCAATTGGGACCTATTTAGAATCCTTTGTTGAACTTGACAATTAAAAGTCAAGATAAAGCAGCTTGCTTTATCTGCTTGAAAAATTTTGAAGAGTGAAAAGATACATTCCCTGATATTACTGTGAACTTTATTGTTTCAAACCTCAAAAAGTATATAGACACGTGCTACGGTAGACTAGCTTCTCTGCTCAGAATGTCCTAATTATTTATGCACATCGACTCGCACGAGCCTGCGATAAAGATTGATGTTTTTGTGTAGATGGGAGTTTATAAATGGGCTTTCTCTTTGTAGGTCTATATTTGGGTATATGTTCACGTACAAATCCATATTCAAGTAGTAAGGTAAAAATAATGTTCTTTTTTTCTTGAAAGATGCCAAATAATACAAAAATTTTATTTTCTGAGAACTCCAGCTTAATTTTTTGGGGAGCATGAGTGCACCAGAGGAAAAGGGCTTGTTGCTCTTGGCAAGGTTGTGCAGTTTTTGGAAAATAGTTCCAAGCAAACCTCTGATATCTTGTTTTTTGGTTTGAACCAGGTGGAGGACTAATTGGGAGAAAGGGCTGCATAGGTGCATTGGGAAGAACTGATACAATGATGTGTGCAGTATACGGCTGGACTGAAGAGATGGCGTTCTCTGGAACTTCCACAGGGGATGTGTGTGTTTGGAGAGATGTGTTTCTCATAAAAACAGTCAAAGCACATGATGGTCCTGTGTTCAGCATGCACGCGTTGGAAAAAGTAAATAAACTGCTCATTGGTTTTTGATGTCTGGACAAAAAAAAAGTCTATGAAGTTAGGCCTTTCCCAAACTCAGGAATCTATGGCTTTATTTCTGTTACAGAAAAGCCTTGTGAGGTCCAGAGTCAAAACTGTTTTATGCATGTCTCCAATTCTTGCTATGTAGCACGCTGCTTCTCAAACCCTTGTGGTCTAGTGACATTTTATTCAGTAATTTTCATGACCTCTTGCTAAAGAAAAAATAGTGACTTATGATAAATAAAAGTACTTTTTGATTTAAGCATCCATAAGTTTAATTGAATATATGAGCTTGTGAGAGAGGAAGAAAATCATATTCTTACTGTTCAGTGCTGTAATTCCTGTCTACTAGTAGCAGCATTCAATCTGTAGATCACTAAATATGCTCTTCTGATGCTCAGTATCTTTTGACTCAGGAAAGCCTTTAAGCATGTGCTTAAATGTGAATGGGTGTTCCAGTTAGATTACTTGAAGTTATGTGTATGTTTGTATTTTGCTAGGTTAGACCACGTTACTCCACCTTCTCTTATTTGAGTTTCAGTATAGTAGCTTCATCCAAGGCATGTGTTATTCATTGCAAGAACTAAGTGCTCCAAAGGAAAGTATTAATGATTTCAGTATGAGGCATACCTGTTGCTTCATTAAATAGCTAGAAATAAATTTGAAGACACACTGGCACAATTATGCCTATATTTGAACAATTTAAGTAGTAATAAAATTTTTGTGATTCGCACTAAGTTTGGCTTGGAGCAATGAGGTGAAATGCCAAAGAGATTTTGAGGCTTTTTGGTTAGAAGCTTATTGGTTAGAACTTCTAAATCCAGCCTATGTACCTGGGCTGTACAGAACTGTGCTGCCTTTGTCAGGAGAATTCAATCATTTTGTTGCTCCTAATCTTTTTCATCTCTAACATATTAGTTCTGTGCACTTCAGTGCTGTATATAATCCGTTTCCAGTATTGCAGAAATCACTGAAAAATTAAGGAAAGATAATAATTGACTATAACTTGTGGGGTTTATTTGTTTATTTTTAATTATTATTATTTCCCCCACCCCCCAGGGATTTGTCACTGGAGGAAAGGATGGGGTAGTAGCCCTCTGGGATGATACCTTTGAACGTTGTCTCAAAACCTATGCCATCAAAAGGGCTGCTTTAGCCCCTGGGTCTAAAGGTAACAGAGATTTCATTCTATTTAAAATACTTTCTTTAGATAACTTGCTGTGGAATTTCTTTCCCCAATAGGAAGAAATCTACATTGGACATAATGAAGACTAAAAATTATTTTTTTAAAGCTTAATTGATTCTAAATAAGTCAGTTTCCTGTTGGGAGGGAAATGGTATGTTATAATGTCTTTTTGCACATTTGGTGGGTGCAGATCATAATATTTACCTTATTTTTTGATTAGTTGATCTTACCTCACTCAGGCGATTAATTTTTAAGTAGCAACCAAAAAGCCTATTATTTTTCTAATTGTGAAGTATCTTGTCTGATCTTTCTTGTTTTGGAGGAGGAATGGAAATGAGAATTGTGGTTAGTTTTGTAAGGTCTTAGTACATTCTATGTCTCAATTTTCTGTAAATGCATATGTCTTTTGAAATTGTTTTAGAACATTTTCATTCTTATTATTCCTGTTTCTTCCATTTATTCTTGATCTTAGTGCTGATTTATAGTTTTCCCTATGTAACATTCAGAATAGCCTTCTCTTTCCCCCTCCCTTTCTCCCCCTCCCCCCCCAGTTTACATTAGCTATTTTTCAATGTGTGTGGTTTGATTTTTCAGAAATCATGAATGGAAACACCCATTACTAAAACATTCTATTACAGAGTATCTCATTCTCGTATCTGTAAAATAAAAAGCTGTATCAGAAGGTACCATAAATTCTAGCAGTATAGTAGTACAGTTGATAACTTCACATGCACATTTTTTTCAAAAAGGCTGCCAATGAGTGAGGCTGAATAAACTTCAGAGATTCTCAGTTGAGAAGAAAGATTAGTGTCAGTTGGGTAACTGCTAAATACTCCCAAATGAATCCAAACATGTAATTTCTTCTATGTAGGAATATATTTTTACTTACTTAATACTGAGTATCTTTTTCTACAGTGAGAGTGTAATGTGCCTATGTGTGAAAAAATCCACTTTAAGGCATACTTGAGAATCATCTGTCTTCTCATGTTTTAATGTTCTAGGTCTTCTCTTAGAAGATAATCCTTCTATACGTGCCATATCTTTAGGACATGGTCATATTTTAGTGGGCACAAAGAATGGTGAAATATTAGAGGTGGATAAAAGTGGACCAATAACTCTGCTGGTTCAGGTATGCATTGAATTTCAGTCAATATTCCATACCACAAACAATGTTTTCTTTTTCAAGTAAAGAAATGTTGTGAAATAAAAAGCATTTAAATTACTAGTGAAGTTAGCAAGTTACTATCACTTTTTAGATTTTTAATGCTAGGCCAGACCATTATGACTCTTTAATGAGCAAAACAGATCACAGGATTTCATGTACTGATTTGTTCAACAAGTTCTGAGATTATATTTGTTATTAATAATTACTAATTACTGTTACGATTTTAAAAAGCTGTCTCCCAGAGGTTTAGTTTTAGATTTTCTTTGTAATTATGTAAAAAACTTTCCATTTTCTTTGCTGTACCAAACAGACTGCATTTCTTAAGCCTGACAAAACAGGTTTTTTACATCATATTGTGCGATTTTCTTATATACTTAAATAAAAATCTGTGGATCTTTAATTCACGCTTCTGAGTGTCCAATACAATGTATTAAGAATTATAGAATATATATATA